GTTGTCAGCCGCCGGGCTGAGCGCCACCCATGAGAATGGCCACAGCACCACCTGGTGGTAATATGGGAGATGGCCCAGCCAGCCCTGGTGCTTCTCACAGCAGGGGCATTTAAACTTTGAACAAGTGTGAATTGAGGTACTAATACCACACGCTTTTTTGTTTTGTTTTGTTTTTCCACACAATATATCACTTGTTTATAATAACGCCAAGGAAGGGATCATTATCCTTTCTACAATCGAAGACACCAAGTTCAGAAAAGCAAAGAAGCTTGCCCAAGGACACAAAGCTAGCTGGGGCAGAACCAGGATTTGAGTTTAAGCATTCTAGCTCTGCAGCCTTCTCTCCTAATAGCCAAGCCTCTGGGAATTCAGTGAGAAACAGACTCCACTCCTGGTTTCTTGGAACTTACAACCTAGCTGGGGGGAGCAGAAGGGGGAACAGACAGAAACCAGAAATTTCTTTCCAGGCCAAGCCTGGAATGGTAGTTCAAGTGACTGGATCTCACATGGCCAGCTATGTGGTTCAAGTTCCGGACCTGGAAGCTTGAAAATCATGCCAGGAACATGTGTATGAGCGCCCCAAATCCTGAGAGAACGGAGAGGAAGGGATTACTGTGGCCATTCTCCCGGGAGGGTGCTGTCTCACTTTCCCTCTGTCTGTCTCCCTTCAGCAAGCACATGTGCCCTATAACAAATTTCTTAAAGAATTGTTTAATTTTATTTATTAGTATTATTTAAATTTGCTATAGGGTACATGCATTCACCGGAGAGAAACAGAGAAAGAGAAAGAGAGAAAGAGAGGGAAAGTGAGAAAGCAAGCTGCCAGGTCCAGGACTTGAACCATGGTGGCCATGTGGGAATCCAGTGCCCCAAGCACTGTGCCACCTGCTTGCTCTAAGCAACATTTTAAAGAAGAAAAAGAAATTCATTTCCTAGGCACTCAGTAAGTGTCAGACGCTGGATGAGGTGCTGGGGAAGCCATAGTGAAGACATCAGCCAGAATCCGTGCCCAATTAACATTGTGGGGAAGATGGACGTTAATTCATCACTCCACTAACTACACAACAGTGACACAAGACATGACAGGAAGGTATGGGTTCCCAGACCCAGTATCAGAGCCTACGCCAGTTCCAGGACCCAGGGAACTCTTCCCTAAAGAAGTGATGTGTTGACTTGCGATCTGAAAGACGACCAGGACGTGCCCAGGCAAAGAGGCGTCTGTTTGCTCATTGACGAATGAAAGCAGTGTGTGGCCCTCATCCATGTTTTCATTTGTCATCACACATACCAGGGGTTCTTCACAAAGTTCATGGGAAATGCATATAAAGAAAAACCTATGCAAGGATTAAAAAAATTTTTACACCCCAAAATAAAATCATATTTTAATTTCATTCCCCACAAGCTTTTTAAAATTTATTTATTTAGTTATTTTAATTTGTTATAAGGTATGTGCACTCACCAGAATGAAAACAAGAGCGAGAGTGAGGGAACCAGCAGTTAGTGTAATGGCTATGTTGCTGGCCTCCCACGTAGTCGACCGCGGTTCACGTCCCGGACCCAGTGGCTTAAAACTCACGCAGGGCGCGTGTGTGTGCAGGCCCAAGATCCCGAGAGGAGAATGGAGGAGAAGAGATTGCAGCACGACCATCCCCCCTGGGGGGTGATTTCTCGCTTTCTGTCTCTCTGTCTCTGTCTGTCTAGTGAGCGCACGCGCCCTATAGTGAAAACCTCTCAAAAAAAAAAAAAAAAGCGAGAGTATGAGCAAGAGAGAGAGAGAGCAAGAAAGCAAGCCACCAGGTCTGGGACTCGAACCCTAGTCGGACACGTGAAAGCCAGCACCTTACCCACCATGTCACCTGCTGGCCCCTCCCCAGCAAACTTTTTGAAGCCTTCTCATATACAAATCTATAAATAATATACTGAATATATGTTTCTGCAACTTGCTTTGTAACTCCACATTGTTTTTCAGATGTTTGCATGTCAATACGCAGAACCCATTCGTTTTAACTAAGAGGCCGTGGCACTCCTGACCTCTGCCACAGGCACTACACGTCAGCCCTGTCCCTGCTGATGACAGAGGACACACGCTCTCACCTGAGACAGAGAAAGAGGGAAAGGGAGAAAGTACCTCCCCGATGGGGCATCGTCCCACTGCAATCCCTTCTCCATTGCTCCATCCTGTTGGGGATGGAGAAACTTAACTTTTTGTTTGTTTGTTTTACAACCCAAGGGGCCAGGCTTTCAACTGCACAGTCAGCCCAGTGAAATCTGACTCTCTTAACCACTAGGTTATGGGCTGAACTGTTTCCAAATTTTTATTCCTACAAACAGTGCTGCAACCACCATTCTCAAAGTGTGTGTCTCTAAGTGTCCCCATGTGGTATGTGCCCATATTCTTAAATTATTATTATTATTTGCCAGAGGACATGTGTGCTCTCCAGAGAGAGACAGAGAAAGAGAGGGCAAAACCAAGAAGCACCCCTTATGGGAGTAGTCATGCTACAATCCCTTCTCCTCCATTTCTCCCTCCCTTTGGAATTTTGGGCATGTACACACATGCACCTGGCATGCTTTTCATGCTGGATCCAGCACTCAAACTATGCAGTCAGCTATGTGGGATCCAGCCACCTCAACCACCAGGCCACAGCTTGTCCTCTGTGTTTGTACTTTTTTTTTTTTTTTTAAGTTTTTTGCTATAGGACACATGTGCTCACTGGAGAGAAATAAAGAGAAAGAGAAAGTGAGAAATCATGCCCCAGGAGGCTAGCCATACTGTTATCCCTTCTCTTCTATTCTCCTCTTGGGACTTTGGGCACACATGTACATGCACCTGGTGTGTTTTTAAAGCCACTAGGGACTCAGACCACACAGTCAGCCACGTGGGATCCAGCCACCACCGGCTGGCCCTATTCCATATTCTTAAATAGTTGCCAACATCATTTTGGCAAAGACAAGGAGAGAATAACTTTCTATTACTAAAAAGTATATAGATAAACAAATGTATTTACCAGTTCATGTACCCCGACTGAAGCCAAATTAAGATTCTAAAACACATTTGCCAGAACGTTTCCCGCGTTTCCACAGACTTTGTTCTTTTTTCCACTTTCTGTTGTAGTTTTTCCAAAACAATTACACTAGCTGGTAACTCCTTAGGAAATACCTGTAAGCAGTTTTTCATGGTTTTTCAGTTATTTGTTTCATAAGCAGGACTACTTTTTTCTTTTTATTTTATTTTATTTTATTTTACAAGCCCTTGTAGCAAGGGCTGACTCACATCGATGGCAGCAAGGGAGCAGTTCTGCCACGTCCAAACCTTGACCCAGAAGCTCACCTGCAAATGGTTCAGCACCAGATTTCCCCCACGAACAGGACTACTTCTTGCATTCTTGACTTCCGGATTCCAGGTGACTAATCTGCAGCGCACAGGCTGGCTGGCCTCAGGGTTGGTGGCACCCCACAGTGACACCCTGTAACCCACAGGTGTGTAGTCCCTAGAGATGGGGGTGGGGGACCTGGGAGAAATGGCTTCCATTTCCACCCAAGGTGGTCCAGTTTGCATGTCCCCTGGTCTACAAGGAGCCTCGTGCGAACACCTGAGTCAGTCTGCCCCGTGTTCCCCACTGACCTCATGATGTGCACGGGCCCTGCCACCGGCTCCAAGCGCTGGTGTAATTCCACACTCCAGGTTTCTAGAGTGTCGGGTGTGAGGCAGAAGTCGTCAGCACTGACCATGAGGCCCACACCGCCCATGGCAGGCCCTGTGTGTATGTGGGGAGCAGTGTGGCTGCCCAGTTCTCAACAGCAACCCTTGCTCTGGAATTGCCCCTGACTCTCAGAGTTCTGGTGAGCCTGGTCAATGCTAAGATAGTGAGGGGTGAAAGGGGACTCTATAGTCAGACTTACCACCTTTGCTACCAAAGTCACTGGCTGGGCACTCTCGATCGCCCACTGGGTCAGGAGTTGAGCAGAACTGAGCTGGGCTGAGCTGGGCTGGACAGGACTGAACAAGGACCAGAGCCAGAAGCAGCTCCAAAATCTGCCACCAGGTGGCGGCAGAGCTCCTGCTCTGGCCCTGGTTTCTCACCGACCTGTGGTCCACTGGGATTTTCTGATCTGCATTTACCCAGCCTTGCCATTCTTCTGCCTGTCTCAGAAACCCCCCAAGCTAGATAAGATATTGCAGCCAGTTGGAGCACAGGAGAGATGTCCTGTGTTTGAAACTCAGGAGCATCTGTGAGTCCAAAAGAGCCGGCTTCTTTCCATCACACTGGAGGCCTAGGACGGGGCTACTAGACAGCTTCGCAAAGACCAGGGGGTAACAAGAGGGGCTCTGGCCAGTGTCCACCAGAGAGAAGACTTTGGGAGACCAGAACAATGTCCCAGCTCACTGTCCCAGCTTCTGTCCCATCATGTACACCCATGTGGCCCTGAACCCACCCTCAGCTCTACTTCCTGAAGCATTGGGTTGGTGTCCAGCCCAGCCTGGAACCACTCCAGAAAAATATGGAAGCTCAAGGGTCAGTGGTCCGGGGCACATGCCAAGCCCTTCCTTCTCTCTCGCCCTCATCCAGGTAGTCCTGACTCACCAGCCTCAAACAGGGGCCCCAGTCCCTATATCTGATGCCTTAACACCAGGGACCCCAATGAGGCTCCAGAGTTTGGCCCAGCACTGACGACCCGATGGCCCCTGCGACGCTGTTTGTAGCCTGGGATCTGGCCCTTGGCACTCCAGCCCCTAACCAGGACAGACCCCCTGGAGAAGGTGTTTGAGGACAAGCCTCAACCCTGGAGACCCTGCGCGAAGCCTGAGGCCCAAAGGCTGAGGTCTGGCAAATCCCATCCCCCACTCACGCTCACCGTTCCCTGCACAACCCCTTCAGTACACACATGGCAATTATGATTCCCAGATGTGCGTTCTGTGTGGCCTCTCAGTGGGTCACTGCCCTCCGGACCGGGAAGCCTATGACAGGCAGGCTGTGCTCACTGCTGTGAGCCTGCGCTGGGCACTGAGCCTGCCACACACAGCTGCTCCGGAAATGCCTGTGAATACGGAAAGGGTAAGTGGGGAGGTATCTTCCCAGAAGGGGCCTTCAAACATTTCTAAAATGTTTTACAGTTTCCAAAGTACTCGCCATGGTGGTCGCGTTGCAGTCTGCCCACCAGCCTGTAGAGGGGGCACTAGAATGTCGCTGTTACAGGGTTTCCTATCTCCGCAGTAACAAATTACCACCAACTGAGTGGTTAAAACAACACAGGTTTATTGCTTTGCAGCCCTGGGGTCAGAAGTCCAACCAGGCTAAAATCAGCTGTTGGCAGGGCTGCTTTTTTTCTGGAAGCTGGGGGGGGAGGGGGCCCATTTCCTGTTTTTTTCCAGCTTCTTGAGGCCACCCATGTTTCTTGGCTAATGGCCCCTACGTCCATCTTCAAAGTCAGCAATGTCTCATGTCTCTGCGTTTATGGACTCATGTGATTAGATTATCACCAGATGATCCGGGATAATCTCAGCACCTCAAGGTCCACAGCCGTAATCACATCCGCGAAGTGCCTTTGCCAAGTAAGGTGATACAACCACGGTGCGGGGAATGAGGACAGGGAAGGAGAGGTGAGAGGAGCATTATGCTGCCTAGCCCACTCAGGCTCAGAAACAGAGAGGTGCGTTGACTGCCCCACCTCTCCCAGCTGCGGCTGCTGAAGCTGGTTTGATGCCAAGTCTTTCAGGCTGCAGAATCTGAGCTTTCTCCCTTGCGGCCAGTGTAAACATCCGGAGTTTCCAGATCCCTTCCCAGGAGCCTGCAGAGAAGAACACACCAGGTCAGTTCCCTTCGAGTAAATACACACTTTTATTTCTGTTAAAAAAAGGAGGAGGAGGGACCAGCGGATGGTGTAATGGGAACGTCGCTGGACTCTCACATAGCTAACAGTGGTTCGTGTCCCGGACCCAGTGGCTTCAAACTCATGCTGGGCACGTCTGCGTGTGTGCCCAAAATCACAAGAGGGGAATGGAGGAGAAGGGATTCTGTCGCGGCATCCTTCCTGGGTGGGTGATTTCTCACTTTCTATCTCTTTCCAGCGAGTGCACATGCCCTATAGCAAAAACCTCTCTGAAGGAAAAGAAAGAGGAGAAGAGAAAAGAAGAACAAGCAGGAGAAGGAGGAGCAGGCAGTAAGAGCTGGGAGGAGGTGGAGGAGAAGGAAAGGAAAAAAGAAAAGAAAAACACAATGAAAAGATGTGCTTGTTAGATAGTGGCGTCATGTAAGAAAACCTCTATGGTCCCTTTATTATCAGTTTTTTAACATAAACAAACTTTTTAAGTGAAGGAGGAAGGGTTAACCCACCTTTTTGCCTCTCATTGATGGTGAAGAAGGAAGACAGTAAAACACTCTCTTGTCCAAACTTCATTCCACTCCTCACTGCAATTAAACGAGTGGCCACCAGATGGCGAGGCAGGCTCACAGCAGGTGCTTCGCCCCCGACCATCCCTTTTACAGGGACAAGGGTGGTAGAGGTTTTCCTTGCTCTTGTCTACAACCTGCTCTAAGAAGAAATGCCCTAACGGGCCCAAGCAAAGTGAGGCAGGGGCAAGGCCAGAGGATCCTCAAGACTCAGGGCAGCCAGTGTTGAGGCCTGAACTACCTCATGCTTCATCCTCTGAGCCAGGCACAAGTACCAGAGGTCAAGCCTGCAGGAGTTGAGTGAAAGGGTGAGGCTTGGTTTCAGGGGAGCAGAGAGCAGAAGCAGCTGCTTCACAGGATGTGTAAGATGGCCAGGGATCTCATGCACTGCTCACACATTTATGGTTGCATCTCATTGTCCCTGTGGGCCAGTGTGGAACCTGGCGTAGACGATACTGAACTGGCTGGGAAGATGGTGATAATGTCAGCATGGATTCCAAGTCTTTCCAAATTCCCATACAAAAATAAATGGCAAATGAGTAAAAGCAAAACCCACAGTCAGCATTTGTTTCCAAATTAGGTGATAAGGTGTCCCCATGGACACCAAAACCTGAGTGGGAAGCACAAGCCACCAATAGCCACCTGAACATCATTGGACGCCCCCTGGATTCCTCTTGGAATACTATCCCTTGCCTGGCTTCTGGCCCTCAGTGCCCACCCACTGGGAAGCAGAGGGAAGTAAGGGGGAGTATCTGATGGGCCTGAGAACAGGAGAATCCCAAAATAGCCAGCAGGTATTTACTAGAGGGATGGAGGAACAATTTTAGAAGAGTGATAGAAACTGAGAGGGGTGTTGCCCCATCCCGTAGCAGGTGAGTAGAGCGGTAAGGACAGAGGAACTGAGCAGCCCAGCTCCAGGAAGTCTCAACTGTGACCAACACAGGGTCCCACACTGTTGGAAGTGGGGTCAAAATGGAGCAAGGGCAGGCATGGTATGCACGCCTCTCCAGCTACTTGAGAGGCTAAGGCAAGGGGTCACAACACAGGGAGAACCTGTCTTAACAGGTGGTATGGTGGTTAAGGTGCTGGACTCCCACATGGCTGACCCCAGTTTGAGTCCCAGACCTGGAGGCTGTGCTTTCCCTCTCTTTCTGTCTCTCTCTCTGGTGAGCACCCACAATTATAGCAATTTTTTTTTAGATGATAAAAATAAATAAAATAAATAATTCTTTTTTTTAAAGAATTATTTTATGGGACCAGC